GACAGCTCGACATGGCTGTTGGACCACGCTTCTAATTTCGCGTTCAGGCCATCTTTAGCATGCTTTGCTGTCTGCAGCCCCTCCGAAACCTTATCCATTAGGCCTACGATCGGTTGTAGTACCTCTTGCGCTTGCCTTGCGGCCTCGTCTTTGCTATTTCTCAGAGCGCTTTCAGCACTCAGCTGAACTTGCACGAGTTCATTCTGAAGTCGGCCACAGTCTTGTTCTGCTTCATGCAAGCGATTCTCGATATCACAGTATTCCGCGCGAACTCTCATACACTCTTCCTCTCTTGCTTGCTTAACTGCCTGATCTTTCTGTTCCTGGCAGCTGGCGACCACCTGCATAAGCTTTTCTTGCTCATCCTGAAGCTGACGCTCATTATCCTTGAGCTGACATTCCTGGGCACTCAGAGTTTCATAGACTCTTCTTAACTCGTCTTCTAGACCGTGAATACATGTTTCCTTTTCATCCAACGATCCCTGGATTTTCTCCTTCTCTTTTTGTAAGCTCTCAATCCGGCTGTTAGACTCATCCGTAGCATTAGCGATAGCTCTCAGAGAATTTAGCTCTTGCTGAAGTCTATCGTGTTGTTCGAGTTGCATCTTTGCTTCATCCTGCGTTCTAGCAAGTTTCTCTTTGAGCCGGTCCGTTTGCCGAAGTAAAGTGTGGTACTCAGTCTGAGCCTTTCCAACCTTTTCTTGCCATTCTGAAGCATTTTGGCTACTCTGTATTTCTTTACAAAGGCCAGTGCAAACTTCGCGAACGGCTAGGATGTCCGATTTCAAGCCTTCTATAGCTTGAGAGGACTGCTCACGGTCTGATTCCGTATATTCTCGAAGTTCCGAAAGAACACTAATTGGTATCAACTCTCGGTTATCTAGGGTCTTTATGATTATAAAGTTACTTACCGGTTTAATGCCCCCGCCTGGAGCGTCTTTAAGCTTTCCACCAACTCTAAAGGACTTAGAGCGGTCGCTTTGTCATCTTCCAGGAACTTTTGCAGTGATTGGATCCTAGTCACATTAGCATTGCTTCTTTGGCTGTATTTTCTCTGTACTTACCGCTGTCCCTGCTGACTCAAACCGTGTTCCACGGTTTGAATCTGAATAGTTCTTTCGTCACTCTTCTTCATGAGTTCACGGTTCTGCGAATGCAGAGACTGAAACGCATTTCTGTTGAGTTCATGTGACTTGTTCAGTTCTCGGCGAAGATCATTAATATGATCCTTTTCTCGATTAACATCCTTCTCACGCTCAGCTAATTTCACCTCAAGGCCTCTGATCTCCAGTTGCACTAAGGAAGATTAGCTGCAGAACCAATCCGACAATCTCGACTTACACTTCTGCATCTCCTGCTGGGAAAGAACTCGAACTTCATTTACACTATCTTTGATTTTGTCTCTGGCCGCTTTAGTGGCTGAAAGGGCCTGCTCAAGGGAATTCCGATGATTTAGTTCTGCTTGTTTCAACTGCTCTCTCATCTGATGATATTTTGGCCGAATGTAGTTGAAAATATTTTGCTGCTCCTTAGTAGCATCATTGAGATGGTCTCTATATTCTCTCATCTTTTCTCGTAATTTCTGGACTCGCTCTGTTAAGTCGGTTAGGGCAGCCTCTTTCTCCTGGCACAGAACATGTTGCTCCTCCTTCACATTTTCAAGATCTTCGATGATCTGACCTCGCCTACGGATCTCTTCAAGGTATTCTGATATCTTATCATCCCGTTCAGCAAGTTGCTCTTCCATTTCGTTTATTTTCTTCTCCCAAAACTTATTTCGTTTATTTTCGTGAAAAAAGAATTCGTTCCAGGATTGGCTGAGTTGACGGCGTAGCGCATTACTTTCCTCCATGTCTGGAATAACCCGCCTTGCCCCAGCACGTCTCCGCTCCTTTCCTAAGGGGGCCCTTACTTTTGATATGTTCGAAGCCTGTGACACAGGTCGTATCATGCTGTAGTCCTCATGTGTGTCCTGGTTAAATGGACGAGTCATTTCCACGGCAATAGATCGATTCTTTCGTGGTTCGCCATGTATAGCCTGAGTTCTCGGTATATGTGTGGGTTGATTCCACGCGGGATCCCGAGTAGGCCGTTCCTGGGACTGCTTTGTTCGGGTATGGAAGACCTCTTGATCATTTACTAGGTCTTGATGTACCTCTGGTGTATTGAGCCTTGGCGACGGAGTCTTCTCAATTTGGCTCTTCGAGTGGTGCACTGAGTGACTGACGCGATTCGTGTAATTTGATTGAATGAGAGCTTTGCGCTGGATATCTGCGATAGCCTTAGGAAGCTTGTGCCCTTCCAACCGGGTAGCCGGAGATTGGACATGCGCTTTAGGCTGCTGAGGGGGAACTGGGCCCTTATTAATAGGAGAGGTATTCTTGAACGGCGGCCCCGGCAGCGAATGAGTGCTCTCTTTAGTTCCATCGTGTGTATGGACGGTACCCTTAGAAGAATGGTGACTATGAATCAAAGCCGTATCATACGTTTTCGTCCTCATGTTTCGCGCTGGTAGACTAGCCTGTGTCCCTACTTCAGGTATATCTCTTGAGTTATCTAAGGGGCAACCTAAGGGACCATTGATTATCTGGCAATCGGAGTCATGTGAAGGATGCTCGGTTTTAGCAACGCTGTCATTCTTCGAATTAATCTGGAGTCCCAAGCCGTTCCGAGGAGCATGTGGCCTATTTAGCTGAATCTGGGGTGTTGGTGCTTTACTGTACTGGAAGCCATCTTGGAAATCCAGAGGGTCTTCAAGCATGGGGCGGCTGAAAAAAGGACCTTGGGTTGACTGTAGCGGCTGATTTGCCACAATTTCTTCTTCATGACCACCAATATCATCGTGCCATTCAGATGTGACATCCTGTGCCTCTTGGGAATCTTCAAGGGGTGCTAGGAAATTCTGCTCAAGGGCGGTAGAAGTTCGCGAGTCAAACTGACTCTCAGGGTATTTGAAATGGTGTGGTTTTGGACTGGGCTCAGCAGCCATGATGGAAGGTGTTGTACAGGCAGCTGGCAAATTAATGGATGGAAATTTAAAGGATTAGTGAAGGTATGGCTGAGAGGACCCAAATTGCTATCCTTTCTCGTATAAAGTCCTACGAGAGTATAATAAGAACGGTGAACGCGGCGCCCGCCTATGGACCACTTAGGCATATATCGTTAACAAGGTTAATAACAAATGGAGACAGTGTATGGATACCCTGAGAACTCATAGGACTCTACAGTAGGGATAGTTGATTCGAGTCTGTGAAGGCCTAGCTAGGTTAAGGTGCTCTCGTATCATGAACTGGGCGGATGGAGAGAGTAGGTAGCGTGATCAAGAAAGGGTACAGGGGGGAGGTTAGGAAGGGGTTGTAGAAAATGATTATCGCTGCCTAAAATGCAGGCTTGTGCCTATAATTCGAACATTGGAAGTGCATTGATGGGATCGCATCTCACAGAGTGCACCTTCCTGCGAGCTAGTTGAACTCACAGAGAAGCTACCTAGTACTTTTGATCTATATCCTATCTACATATGTACGTAGGTAGGTACTTATCTGCATCAATGTAACTAGGTACATACAAGAGCCACAGCTACCTACCTTCAAGGTATATACCTAGGTATCGGCAAGCTACCGATATGGACACTGGTGCTTGAGCATTTTTTATCTAGCTCACGATTGGGTAATTATACCTACTATGGAGGAGGTAGGTAATATATCACTCAGTTGATGCCTGTTCATATACCTAACCTAGCCTAAGATCGAAAAAATACATTTTAACAATTCAACAGTTTAATGGTAGTGACTACTTTATCTTTTTCTTGTACAAATTACCCTAGTATTCTACGGACACTGATAGGAGAAATCTGTGTCTAGGTTTTGTGCCACCATTTACGGGTGCCATTCTTCACGAAACTCTTACCTCAGAACTATTTCTATACATTTTCGTTTGAATTTCTATCACCCCAACTTCTATTCTTCGGGATGCTATCTCTGTCAATAACTCTATTAAAATGACTATCATATTTAATATACACTAGGAGTATATTTTAACAAGGGTTACTAGATAGGGCCCGGAATATAACTTCGAACTACGATAGTATCTTAATGTGCCAAAGAGTCCATTGACTATTCTTCTGAAAAGCCTCTAGAGATGATCCTAGAATTCTAGGTCTAGATGTACACAAAGATATAGGTAGTCGGAGTCTACAATTGTCGACTTGCCTTACAAATTCCAGGCGCCCTTGCATCTATGTCTCAGACTAAAACAAGGATACAAGTAGCTGGATTCTAACACCGAGATATCAAAAATTTCCTATGTTGGATTCTATCGCGTATTGCGTTTACTTGAATCAAGGAACTGTAGAGTTACGGGTAAAAATTACGGCTCGAATGATACATAAATTAAAGACTGCTTTAGCGACAAGACAAGCAGCGCTAACCTGACTAAGGCTATACCTCATGGCTCACCTATAATCAAAACACATATCAGTTAGCCCTTAAAATAATTTCAACATTATCAGTACCTAGTCTTAGTAAGCCTAGACTTTGTTGAGAGGGGCTCTACTTCAACCATAGCACCTGTAATTAGCTTCTACTTCTAAGCTACATTTTTAGGCCTGCAGAGACAGAGAAGGTCCATAAGAGCCAGAGATTAAATACCAAGGAGGGGATACGATTAATGTCATGCTAGTATTCTTCAGACATTGTGCAATCCAATGTAACCAGGGTAGTGACACATGACGTAGTAGACAAACCTCTTCTGCTGATGCGAACAGGCAATGGAAAAGCAATAAAGAATAAAGATAACTAGTTAGAGCCGAGCCAAAGCCATGGTTTTCGCGCGATTAGACTCATAACTTTTAGTATTTTAGTCTAATTGCGCCTAAAAAGCGGACCACAACCACATCTCTACGCTAGAAGGTGTTGATTAAACTATTCCTGTTAGCGCTTTTCTTGACTCGTGATTAAAAAAAAGGATCCATAACAGAATAGGACTGGAAAAAACAAATGGGCTGGTCCTAGTGAGGCTCGAACTCACGGCCTTCGCATTTACCAATGTTATGATGAGATAATATTAGTACGACGCTCTAACCAACTGAGCTATGGGACCATGAATGAAGAGTCATTAATGGGAAATCTAGTATGCCAAAGTCTGGCGTTGGGTGTTGACCATGTTCAAGGGAGATAGATCTAAGAGGTAGATCTGAAGCAGATCTGCTGGGAGATCTATATGTCTGATCGTTCTAGTACGTATTCTCTAATAGAGATATCAGACGTGAAAGTTGTAAGAAGGTAGCTAGCACCGTAGGGTTCATTGTATGGGAGATTCGAGTCATATGTGTAGTTCAACTATTCTCATCAAGCGGGAGAGGTCCAGCAATGAATAATATTGAGGCAACCTACCAGTGACCCTTCTTACTCCGGGGTGAGTGTCAGGACTGCTAGTACAGGGGAGAATATGGCACTTGTTGATGCACGAGGCTTTCGGAATATCCTCGTAGCTTCGCTACTATTATATACAGGGACTCTTCTTTGTCTCCTAAGGATCGCGAGATTGTGATAGTGAGAGGTGATGCGATAAGAGACTTGAATGACATCTGTATAACGATTGAGCCTTTCAACCATGCATATAAATTTGCTGAATGACTTCATAACAAACCACGAGTCGTAAGACAACCAAGAGAAGAGCTCCTTGGTCTAGAAAGTAGTCCTGTTATGTCTGTCATAATCGACGATTGTGATATTCATTAAATATGAGAGTTGATGTCCGCCCTGTAAAGTGGTGATTTCTCGGATTTACAGCGAAGCTAAAGAAAAGAACTAATACCGATTTCTGGATCCTAGCTAGGCTTTCGGTATATAGTATTATGTTGGAATAGACAAGATCATAAATGGGAATATGCGCGTTTGATATAGAAACTCCATACTGTTGGATAGGCTACGATGTCGTCAACAACTGATCCGGTAAGCCCTCACTTGAATCACTAGCTGTATCCCTGAAATAAAAACGAACAAGAAATTGATATCAAGTAAAGAGTGCGACCGAATATTAGACTCAGTTAGCTGATATGAAATTAATGTGACTTCTACCGACTTATAATAATGCGTAATCTTTTGTTAGGTTGCACACCATGTGTTCGATCAATGACATTGGCCCGCTCAATGTCGGCGAATGAACTGCGGCGTAAGGGGGTGGTTATCTGCTGCTCGCTGCAGTATGCTATGGCCAACCGGAAATGCGACCTGCACAACGGAGAGCTGTACATCACATATCACGACTTTCTTTCGGAACAGGGGAATGGTACTCCAAAATACCACTGGTACACTACGTAGTAGTGTATGCGTGCGGTGAAAGTCAGACCTATGAGAGTAAAGCTATAGCAGTCCGTGGTAATACAAAAACCCTGGTATCTGACGTGTAGGGGTTAAATTACTGGGGGTCGATCAATAAGCTGCCACGCGCGAGTCTGCTTGACAGTCCACCGCAACGGCGTCCCACAGGTCTGTGTTTGGGTCGTCTATTAATACATACGGATGCATTGCATTCAAAGGCATCGTTAACTGGATTTCTATGCCTGATGGGCGGTAGATGAAGTGGCGGATGTCGGGGTAGGAGGGTTTGCATTGTGGCTGAAGACATGAAATCCTGGACCGAAAAGAAAAGTCGTGATTTCAAGCCGAGAAGGGTGTTAGTGTGGAAGATCGATTTGTGATGGGATTGTCAGTCATTCTGAATGTATAGTCGTATAACAAGCTATACTTACTTCCGCGTCGAAGATAAGACGTCAAAACCTTTGGATCTACACTACCTACGACCTACGCTATGAAGAAAGAAAAAACTCATCACACTTTGGACAAGCTTCACGCAGTGACAGATGTGACGGAATGGCTTCGACATGTGTTTGGAGTGGTGACCAAGACAGAGCACCCTGGTCACAGAGCCCTGATTGGCCAAAGATCAGGAACGAATGTGGAAGCGCCCGTTAGCTGGGCGCTTCGAGAGTCGCCAGCACCAATGGCCATCAGCCAAGATGAAAATAGAGCAGCCTTTATTACCTGGTTTCAGACCCCCGGACCCCATTGGGTCTGCAGGTATCTACCGGTCCTACTGCTAGGGTCTGAGCCGGCAACGCATGAGGCACTCTGATATCAAGTCTGTTGTTCCCGACATCTATCTACCCGATTTATCACATCTTTGACCAAATAACTCCTCTCCTGAGCGCTGGAGACTGCCTTTGACCCCGCGGCTTGTTATCAATTCACAAGGTGCTGCCGACACTCTCAATTGCTTGCCTAAAGTTCGGTCGTTCTTTTCCTCCTCTGTTTTGTCCTTAGGTCCTATAAAAGTAATCGATATCGCTGGTCGGCGTGCTACAAGTAGGACGAAAACGCCACGAATTGCTAGACACTTTGACTACGCTAGTTCGTAATATTCACACCATGGCCACCAACACCGCAGATTTCCCCTTATCAACGGAAGATCCATACCCAGGAAACAGCGGTCCGGGTGGCGCCGTAGATGATGCGGCCGGTGCAGCAGGTGACAGCCCTGGAGCTGTTCAACTGTCTCACGGTGCCTTGATTGCAATCATCGTGGTAGTGGCACTTGTCGTTGTCATTGGCAGTGAGTGATATCCACCTTGAGACTTATGAAGTATCTCATACCTGACTTCGTATAGTTTCAACTGCTGTACTTTTTTATTTAGCCAAGAAGAAGGAATGGAAGGTCCGAGAGAGTATCAGGCGGTCGGCGAAGAAGGTGGTCACCGCATTGACGCCTCGTCGATCAGAGTTTCCAAGATCTGTCAAAGAGTCATCAGGGAAATCATCTCGAGGACGTGTTCGCCTGGATGATGTGCCTCCAACGCCTAGGCTTCGATCTGAGGATATTGAGAAAGGGCTTGCGAAATCGAACATCCGACAAAGTCCCGAGGGACGGGGAGATAAATGGACAAGGAAGTAAACATGATATCTATACATGGGGAATGGGATGCTGAGACACTCGATGAACTTGATAGATGGGTATTATAATTCTGTGTCCGATGCGTCGATCGCGAGAATCACAGTCAGTCTTGTCTTGTGCTAATATTTATGTATTCTTTAATTGGAGTTACCGGGTATTAGAGTCGCCTTCTTAAAACGTTTCCACTTGCACTGCGCCTTGCCGCGATCTGTTTCTCTTCTGATGTTGATGTTATAACCTGGACCGTCTTTTCTTTATTCCTCTTCGGCTCTGGTGCGAATGTGATTTCTTTATCTCCAACTACATCAGTACCTCTCGCCTTGCTGGGACGGCCTGGTTTTTGAGTCCGAGATCCGAATGCCGTATCTCGATCCCTCCTTCCACTCTCTTGTTTCGAAGAGCTAACACGCATAACGACTGAGTCTCTTCTTGCCTTCTGGGGTGCGGCCTCGGAATTATCACTATCATCACTACTGCCGCTTTCCTCACCACTCTCTTCTGAGAAGTGAGTTGCAGGAGCAACGGATTTACCTGACTCAGGGTCGACCTGTGTGCTGGGGTTGAGTGCCTTGAACTCTCGACTATTCTCATCAATCTGGAACTCTTCATTCTCAAACATCCGGCTGAAACGATCATCACCAAGAATGCCGGCATTCGTATCAACTTTGGCTCTCTTCTCCTGTCGCTTGAGTAATTTGTCGACGAGTCTTTGGTTAACTTTGACCTTCTTGTTGCCGCGGATACGGCTAGCTCGTTCCTTTTCGACCTTCTCCTTGACGCGTTTGGCACGCTCCTCTTCAAAAGCAAAGGGATTGGCGATGAGCCGGGCTTGCTCATATAGTTTCGAAGCGACGAAATAGCCGTGCATATAGGGTCTTAGCAAACTGGTCTTGCCAATTAGGTGATCCATGCTAAGTGATCTTAACTCGGGCAGCGTCAAGAACTTGTAATTCTCATAATTATCTGTTGTCACCTCGCTTGCCATCTCCTCTGTCAGAGAGTCAAGATGTCCTGCCCAGCGTGGCGCGTTTCCCAGTTGAGGAATCAAAAAGGCATGCATTGCTTGGCCTTCATTGGCCGTGAGAATCATGCCAGTTCCCTTGACCCAGGTCGTAAAATTGATATCAACGATGGGCTCGATACTGGTCCAAGTTTGTCCAGTGGATTCTTCGTTAATCTTGATGAGTTGTTTGTCGCTAGACATTATTTTGCGCTCGGATGAAGAGGTTGTCATATGTTCGAGGTTTTTAATTGGGAATCCGCTGCCGTGATCTTTCCGCCAGAGCGGCTTCGGACTTCGCATGTCAAAAAGCTTGACCACACCAGTGGAACTTCCCGTGGTTATTGATAGTCCTGAATTGTTGAAGTCAAGAGCCGTAATCTCTCCCTCTTGACCGCCTAAAACAGCAATGCGGGAACGAGAACGAGGATCCCAGAACTATTGGTCCCAAATTAGCAGTTGTCTAGCGACGGGTCTGAAAACAGGGATTACCTCAACAGAACCAATGGATGTCCCAAATGCTAGAAGATTGTGCGTATTTTCCGCGATCGATATGGAATTCACAGCAGGAGCCCAGACTATATGCAATAAGAAGTTAGTAATTTCTACTAACGATAATAATGGTTGCGAGGCCTCGCGATAATACGGAAGTAGTGCGCTTAAGGCCTGTTTGGAGGAGAACTGAAGATGCTGGATACATACTGCTGCCCTGTAGTCCAACCTCGGAACCACTATCACTCCCAACGTCTATCCTGTAAGATTGCATGAATCTCCCGGCCTCGAGATTAAACCTAAAGACCTCGCCATGGCCGTCGGCACCTAAGCCTACGGACCCAATCAACGCCTCCGTCGTTAGCCGATCATAGCAAAGATCTCGACCGTATCTCGGTAGCTTAATGGTTTCGTGAAGACCAGCGGGGGTGTGGAATTCGACGCGTCGGTCACTTTGTAAATGTAGGGATTTGGATGCATCGGTCGAGAGCAGGGTGAACTTGATGTTGAGGCTCGTTGTGTGTCGTGCGTACGATAAAGATAGGTGTGGTAAATAGTGAACATGAATCTGCGGCTTGTAGGTTCCGGTCGAGACAATCCAATTATTATCTTCCGAAACTCTGACACAGGCACTCGCCTCCTCGAAAGAAAAGTC